CCTCACAGGGCTCACCCCACCAGCTACCCCTCCCCACCAATTATGGAAGCCCCTGGCTGCTGTCTCACTGCTGGCCAAAGCCAAATCTCCTAAGTCTACCGCCCAGGAGGGAACCCTGAAGCCTGAAGGAATTACAGAGGCCAAACATCCAGCTGCAACCCGCCTCCAAGAAGGGGTCCATGGCCCTAGTCCAGTCCATGTGGGCTCTGGGGACCATGACTATTGTGTCCGGAGCAGGACTCCCCCCAAAAAGACGCCTGCCCTGGTCATTCCAGAGGTGGGCTCCCGATGGAACGTCAAACGCCATCAGGACATCACCATCAAACCCGTCTTGTCCCTGGGCCCAGTCATCCCCCTGTCCCCACGCACAGCTGCTTCCCAGGAGCCACTTGATCACAGGACTAGCAGTGAGCAGGCAGATCCCCCAGCTCCTTGCCTCGCCCCATCTGCCTTGCTGTCCCCTGAGGCCTCACCTTGCCGGAATGACACGAACACTAGGACTCCCCCTGAGCCCTCAGCCAAGCAGCGGTCAGTGCGCTGTTACCGAAAAGCCTGCAGGTCAGCCAGCCCCCCCAGCCGGGGCTGGCAGGGCTGCCGTGGCCGCAGCAGCCGTTCTGTCAGCTCTGGGTCCAACCGGACCAGCGAAGCATCTTCCTCTTCATCCTCATCGTCGTCTTCCTCATCCCGGTCCTGGTCCAGGTCCCTCTCCCCCCCACACAAGAGGTGGCGAAGGTGAGCTCTGATGGCCTGTTAGGTCCTCTTCATTTAGGAAGTCTGTGTGCTCTCCTCCAGTTTACTTTGAGAGCTTTTGCACATTGAGTTTGATATTTTCAGGCTCTAAGGCTTCCACTTCTGTCCTTGGCTTTTGTCTTCTCCCCCTTTCTTAGATTATTGACGGAGGCAAGTTGTGAGAAGATAGCTTCCATCCCTGTTTGAGTTTGGGTATCCCTGAGGTCACCTGCTTCCTCGACCCCTGCCTTGGGGAGACCATTAGGGCTGGATCTCGCCCGTGTTTACACTGTCACATACTGTATCAGTCCTCACTTCTGCTCTCTTCTTGGTGGGCTGCCGAAAGATGGGATAGTGGGTTGTTGATAGCAGTTCTAATTGTCTGTTGAGGAAAGAGTCTGGACAGTTCCTTTGTTACTGTGGCCTCATACATTTTTGGGCAGTACCTTTTTCTCAGTAACAGACCCAAATTTTCCCGCTTAATCCATGAAGAATTCTTGGTTTTGGAACCAGAATGACCTCTTGAGAAATGACTCTACTACAGGTCTGGCAAGTCACCTCCCTTTTACGCCATGGTCACAGCACTGCTATGAGACATGTTAGGGGAGGAGGAACCCAGAGACGCAGGCCTGGCACCCCCAGCTAGTTGTAAGACCTAGGGCCCAGTCCTTTATTTCTGAGTCTCCATTTATTTTTCTTCTTACTGACTTGTTAAATATTTTTGTTTTTAATTGCATAATTGAAAATAACTATGATCTGTGCCAAAACACTCTAAAACATTCCAGATACATCTAAAGTTCATGAGGGCCTCAGTTTTATCATCTGTGGAATTCCTCTAGACCTCTTTTGCTCTGCTTTACCTTTGGGCCTGAGCTTCCTGACAGAGAGGCAAGGCTGGGGCCAAGGTGAGGTAAGTAGAATATATTTGCACCACTCCCAGCATTCCCACCTGCCCCTTTATCCTCCAGATCCAGTTGCAGTTCCTCTGGACGTTCCCGAAGATGCTCTTCCTCTTCATCCTCCTCATCTTCCTCCTCATCTTCCTCATCCAGTTCCCGAAGCCGGTCCCGCTCCCCATCCCCCCGACGGAGAAGTGACAGGAGGCGGCGGTGAGTATGTGGTCATGGAGTCTGTGCATCTGGGATGCAAATGCCTGAGAGTTCTGAGACTTGAGGTATTTAATGTCTGGGGGGCTGATCGCACCTTCTTCTCATGTCAGGTACAGCTCTTACCGTTCACATGACCATTACCAAAGGCAGAGAGTTCTGCAGAAGGAGCGTGCAATAGTGAGTAGAGGAACATGTCTTGGGAGGATGGGGCTTGCCCCTGGGCCGTGAGCTTGGAGGGTCTTCTACGTCGGTAGCCCTGGATCATGGTGTGTCAATTTTCCTTGTTCCAACATAGGAGGAGAGAAGAGTGGTCTTCATTGGGAAGATACCTGGCCGCATGACTAGGTCAGAACTGAAACAGAGGTTCTCTGTTTTCGGAGAGATTGAGGAGTGCACTATCCATTTCCGCGTCCAAGGGTAAGCTTGGGCCCTAAGGTCAGAGTGTCCTTTCCGTCCCATTCATCTACCGTGATGCTTCTTTGCCTTTCCTTCTTCCTCTGGTGTGCTAGGCAATGTAGGATGACCCCTGCACTCCCACAGTCAGAGGGTTGGCCATTTGGGGAATGAGAGGAACCACCCCAGTGCCTCTCTGTACCCTGGGAAGTATCTGTTCTCCATGGCATTAGCCCAGATAGCCATCCTAGCCTTGCCTCATCTTCCTCACCAGTGACAACTATGGCTTCGTCACTTACCGCTATGCTGAGGAGGCATTTGCAGCCATTGAGAGTGGCCACAAGCTGAGGCAGGCAGATGAACAACCCTTTGATCTCTGCTTCGGGGGCCGCAGGCAGTTCTGCAAGAGAAGCTATTCTGATCTTGGTGAGTGGAAGAGACCCTGAGGCTTTGGTATACTTCATATTGTCCCCAGAAGGGTTCCCAACCATTTTGAGAGTGGGGCTCTCCTTCATGGAGCTGACTTAATGCTGAATGTGACACAGAGAACCTGGAGGGTGGGATGAGAGGAGAAATGGGGGTTCTCTTGTCTTTTTGACTTAAAACCAAGGTGATATTATTTCCATCCATTATTGGGGTGGGAGGAGGCTGGCCTTTTGAGGACCCTGTGGTAGGGAAGTGTTGTCAGAGACCTTGATGTCTGTCTCTATTTTTATAGACTCCAACCGGGAAGACTTTGACCCTGCTCCTGTAAAGAGCAAATTTGATTCTCTTGACTTTGACACATTGTTGAAACAGGCCCAGAAGAACCTCAGGAGGTAACCCTGGGCCCTTCTTCCCCTTCCCTTTTTCTTTGGAGGTGTCTAACCTCCTCCACCCCCTCTCCCCCACTTTAGGGGAGAGAGCTGCTAGTGAGGAGATGACTGTTTTATAAAGAAATGGAAAAAAGTGAAATAAAAAATGTGTTAAATCAGATTTTTTTAAGGATTATTCATTTTTTATAACAGGCATTGAAACAAGTTAACTTGCATTCCTATGTTCCGATGGGGCTGAGGGGTTCCCCAGTGTTTGGAAGATCTAAGTCACTATGCAGACTAATAAACACAAACTAGAGAGAATTCCCAAGTGCTGTTGTGCTTCTTTCAGTGGTGCCAGTGCCAGACACACTCTTCCAATCTGAACACAATGAGGGACATGCTTACCTCCATTTAATTCCTAGGACCTCTCTTCGGTCAGGTGCAAAATCCTGTTGGACTTGAAACTTTGCTCCTCAGGATGTGTTGTCAGTGAAATCAGTCTTCTGGGGCAGTGCTTCTCAAGCTTTAAAAGAGAATTTGAATTATCTGATGATCTTTTTAGAATGCAGATTCTGACTTCAGGGGTGGGGCCTGAGATTCTGCATTTCAAACAAGGTGATGCTGATGCTGCTACAGTCCCAAGGAAGGGATTTTTACCATTAAGGACCTAAAAGAAGCTCACACTTGTTCCAAATAAAGATGGTTGTTTTTTTTTTTTTTTAAGTTTTTTATTTATTTGACAGCAAGAGAGGGAACACAAGCAGGGGGAGTGGGAGAGGGAGAGGGAGAAGCAAGCCTCCCGCGGAGCAGGGAGCCCGATGCGGGACTCAACCCCAGGACGCTGAGATCTTGACCTGAGCAGAAGGCAGATGCTTAACGACTGAGCCACCCAGGCGCCCCCAAATAAAGGTTTTCTAAAAGAGACTTATGTGTACGTGTATGTACCAGTTTAGCTTGAGCACAATGCTTGGCACACAACAGGTACTCGGAAGAATGCATGCATGTGAATAGACCTCTGGGTAAAAGAGATGTAGGAGTTATATCTAAGGAGAGTGCCTATTTTGAGAAGAGCAAAGGAAAGGTATGTCCCCCGAGAAAGTGGATCCTTACCTTTCCTGACAGGTATGAATGGGGAAGTAATCAAAGGGTAGTGGGTAAAGGGATTGATGTCTGCTAATGTGAACTGAAATGTGATAGAATTTGAAATTAACTTGGCAGGCCTGGGCATTGATTTTTGAATACTCGTAACAGAGGCAGTTGGAGGGTTTTCTAAAGTTCTCCCACAGGGAGAGTTCAGGTGTGAACTGTGGCTCAGCAGATAGGGTAATTTCCAGGATTTCAGATTTGCAGAGATTGCTGCTGCTGTGTCACTCAGGGTTGGTGCGCAATGGCTTTTCCCTTCATGGAGCTGACTTAATGCTGAATGAATAAGGGGCGAAAGGGTTCATGATTGAAAGAGGGGCATTTTTAGGGATCGTCGACCCACTGTTACCATGAATAATCTGAAGGATCCTCTGCAGTGGAGGTGGGAGTTGGAGCGGTATCTGACATACGGCCTCGGTGGGTGTTGCAGGCAGGGAAAATGAAGGGTGGGAATCGGCTGGCGGCGAGAATGGGGGTGGTTGGGAGATCCTGTGACCAAGTCTAGAGAGTCCAAGGACAGCTCAAGCCCGCCGGTCCACTCTACTCTGGAATGCGAATCCCAGCTGCGGCTCCAAACCGCAGCTCTGAAGGAAAGGGCTCGAGCTGAAAGGGCGCGGGAAGTCTGAAGTTTTCCCGCCACTGGTGAGGGCGTGGCCAGTGACGTCAGGGCTCCGCCTTCACAAGGTGGTGGACGGAGGGCTCCGCCCTTAACAAGATGGCGACACTTGTGGCACCGGAAAGAGCTTCTAGATTTCGCCTCGATCCTGCCACCAAAGTGGAGGCGGGACTACCCTGTGGAGTGTGCCGCCCCTTCCGCCGTGCGCCCGCGCCGCGCGATGAGGTCACAGTGGTTCCGCCCTCACCCCTCCGGGTTCCCGAGTTCCTGAGTCTTGAGCGTCGGCAACCGTAGTGACGCGTATTGCCCGGAGGATGGCGGACGCCGGCTTGCGCCGCGTGGTTCCCAGCGACCTGTATCCCCTCGTGCTCGGCTTTCTGCGCGATAATCAGCTCTCGGAGGTGGCCAATAAATTCGCCAAGGCAACAGGCGCTGTGAGTGCGGCCTTGGGACAAGGGCTGGGGTGGGATGACCACAGGTCTTCGGGCCCTGACATGTTTAGGTTTCCGGGTACCGAGGTCTGTAGGGTCCGCCAATCCAGCCTTTGTGCCGAGCTCTCGGCGGTGACCCGAGAGCCTGGAGTCCCGGCACCTGGTCTCCCATGAAGTCTCACTGGATAGCATTGAGTCTTGTTGCTCTTTTCTATTGAGCGGTGCAGCGACGGCAGCGTGGGATCCTCGTGGCCCAGGTCACGTGGCTGGCGGAGTGCGGCGTGGAGGAGGGAGCGTGGTGTCCCACCGGAGGCGTTGGAGGCTCTTGGTTCCTTCTTGGGTTTTACATTGGTTGATGCAAAGTGTGACGACCTTAACTCTCAGTCGAATTTACCCCGGACTCAAAGATAAAATTGCGTTAGAAATGAGGGATGGGATTTTCGTTAATAAAGAAGAAAGTGAAAGAGAGTAGAGACAAAAAGCAAAATTGAGCATCATAGCCCTGCCAAGCAGTGGGCTTGGATCTTTGACTTCTGGAATCAAACACATCTAGATTTGGGACCAGGCTCTGTTTTCTTAAAATGTATAATCTGAACATCTTGCTGAACCTCTCTGAGTTTGTTTCTGTTCCTAAGGGAGATGCCATCATCCACTTTATAAGATTTTTGTGAATTTCAGTAACATGATAAATATGAAGTGGCAATTCCAGTGCCTCGTGCTCAGGAAGCATCAGTGAGTGAAAGCTGTTATCATAGTTATGGTAATCTAGGATGTTCCAAACACACGTAAAAAGTGGACTAGGGATGTGAAAGGTTTGGAATCTCCCTAAAGAAAAGCTATCATGGGGCACCTGGGTGGCTCAGTCTGTTAAGCGTCTGCCTTGTTCAGGTCATGATCTCACGGTCCTGGGATCAAGCCCCACGTTGGTCTCTGCTCAGTGGGAAGCCTGCTTCTCCCTGTGTTCCTCCCCCTGCTTGGGCTTGCTCACTTTCTCTGTCAAATGACTAGGTAAAAATCTTTAAGAAAAAAAAAATATGATGCATGGGAAAACATCTTGAGAGAGGGTATAGTCTTTGACAGTCTTCTTAGCCTTTGACTAAGAAGATAAGTTTTTTCTTTGTGGCAGAATCAGGCTGCACAAGGACAGAATCAACTCAGCTTCAGAAAGGACTTCCTTAAGCTGGGACAGCCTGCCATGTGATCTCCTACAACTGCTTTCATATTGGAACTGTTTTTTGAATTGACCATTAGGGAGACTGCAAAAAGTATTTTCACAATGGGCTGGATGGAATTGGGCCTTTCATAATCAGGATTTTTTTTTTTTTTTTTAAAGATTGTTTATTTATTTGAGAGAGAGAGAGAGAGCATGAGAGGGGGGAGGGTCAGAGGGAGAAGCAGACTCCCTGCCGAGCAGGGAGCCCGATGTGGGACTCGATCCTGGGACTCCAGGATCCTGACCTGAGCTGAAGGCAGTCACTTAACCAACTGAGCCACCCAGGCGCCCCAGAATCAGGATTTTTTTATATGACAAAATCTAATCTTTCTGGAAGACTTACTAAGGGCCAGATGGGGTTTCCAGATGCTAAGTCCTCTATATGCATTATCTCTAATTCTCTCAACAACTTAATAAGATGTATAGTATTATCTCCATGTTATAGAGAAGTAAACAATCTCAGAAAGATTAAGTAATTTGCTCAGGGTCACACAGTAATAATAGGCAGAGGTGAGTTTCACGTCTGTACACTTCTAACTCTGAGTCTATACTCTTGTTGGTACTGTAATGCTTTGCAATTTTTTTTGCATCAAATAATCTGTATCAGTGTAATTAATAGCTGAATGTAATTTTGTACTGAGTATATAACTTAGCTTTTTAACCAGTATTGGAGGCTGGATTCCTATGATTTGGTATTATGAACCGCATTTCAGGAAACACCCTCTTCCGTTAATGTTTGTGTCCTTGTTTCACAGGTAGGGATAAATTCCTAGACAGTGCATTGCTAGAGTAAAGAGAAAGCACAATTTTTTTTTTAAAGATTTTTTAAAATTTTTGTTTGAGAGAGAGTGCGCACGCGCAAGCACGAGGGGGGCAGGGGCAGAGAGAGAGATGTAGACTCCTTGCTGAGCAGGGAGCCTGTCACTGAGCTGGATTCCAGGACCCTAGGATCATGACCTGAGCCGAGGGCAGATGCTTAACCGACTGAGCCACCCAGGCACCCTGGGAAAGAAGATTTTTTAAAAGGCTTTGATAAATAGGATTGACTAGGGATAGATGGTGACAGAAACTGTAGGAGTAACCCAAGTTTTTGATGTCAAAAATTGGGAAGTACATAAATAGGTTATTTTTCAAGTAGAAGTCTCACAAAGATGTAACAATTACACGAAATATAGCAGGTATAAAAGAGGTCACTTTTTAAAGATATTGTTTATTTATTTGAAAAAGAGAGCAAGTAGCACGAGCAGGGGGGAGAGGGAGAAGCAGACTCCCTGCTGAGCAAGAAGCCTGATACCGAACTCCATCCCAGGACCTGAGATCATGACCTGAACTGAAGGCAGACACTTAACTGGTTGAGCCACCAGGCACCCCAAGCAGGTCATTTTTAAAGAGAGAATAAAATAAAATCTGGTTTCCCCCTAGAACAACCAGGATAAAATTTTCTTACTAAGTTATTTTTTTCTCCTATAGACCCAACAGGACGCCAACGCCTCTTCTCTCTTGGACATCTACAGCTTCTGGCTCAAGTAAGTCTTCCCTGTACCACTGTGACTGTTTTTCCCCCAAGGAGTTGGGCTGTGTTCCCTGGTGTGGGAAGGTCCTGATCCCCCAAAAGTTAGCCTCATCTATCTCAGCAGGTCCACCAAGGCCCCGAAGCGGAAGTTACAGGCAAATGGACCAGTGACTAAGAAGGCTAAGAAGAAGACTTCATCCAGTGACAGCAGTGAGGACAGCAGTGAGGAGGAAAAAGCCCAAGGACCTCCAGCTAAGAAAGCTGGTAATGCTGGACAGGGAATTGGGGTTAGTGGTTCCCAGAAAGGAATTTGTAGCCTGCCTGTACCACATGGCTGATTCTCACTGGGGTCTGTGGTTTTGTTCAGTTGTACCTGCCAAGCGGGCCAGTTTGCCTCAGCATCCTGGAAAGGTTGCAGCCATAGCATCAGAGAGCAGTAGCAGTGAAGAATCCAGTGATGATGAAGAGGACAGTGACAAGAAGAAAAAGCCTGTTCAGGTTTGCAACTTGAGGAAGGAAAGAGGTTGTTTAAGGGATTAGAAAGAAGAAACCTAAAGTCCTGGCTTGTAGCTTGGAACCAAGGGATGGCAGTGGGTATATAACAGGTGACTGTGGGGGTGCCTGGTTGGCTCAGTCAGTAAAGCATGGGACTCTTGATTTCAGGGTTATAAGTTTGAGCCCCATGTTGAATATAGAGATTACTTAAAAAATAAATAAATAAGGGGCGCCTGAGTGGCTCAGTCGGTTAAGCCTCCAACTCTTGGTTTTGGCTCAGGTCATGATTTAAGGGTCCTGGGATCTAGCCTCCATTGGACTCTGCTCAGCAAGGGGTCTGCTTCTCTGCCTCCCTTTCCCTCTGCCCCTCCCACTACTCCCAACCATGTGTGAGTGCGCATGCGCCCTCTCTAAAATAAAATGAATCTTTAAATATATAAAACATATATAATAGGTAACCATGGAGGAGAAAATAGATGTATGAAGCTTGGAAAGGATACGTGAGGGTGAAGTTATACCCTGAATCTAGGAACCCATTCTCTTTCCCAGGCGGTGGTGGGGGAAGAGGGAGAGGGAGAAGCAGACTCTCCACTGAGCAGGGAGCCTCGCTTGGGGCTTAATCCCAGGACCCTGAGATCATGAGCTGAGCTGAAGGTAGACGCTTAAGTGACTGAGCCACCCAGGAGTCCTCTTTCTTCCTCCCTCCCTCCCTCCCTTTCTACCTTCTTCCCTTCCCTTCCCGTCCCTTCTTTCCCTGTTATTTTTCTTTCTTTCTTTTCTTTTCTTTTCTTTTTTCCTTCCTTCCTCAAGATTTTTGAACTATTTTTAAGTAATCTCTGTACCCAGTGTGGGACTCAAACTCATAACCCCAAGATCGAGTTGCATGCTCTACCCACTGAGCCAGCCAGGCACCCCAATATTTTTGTGTCTCATGAAGAATTTGGTGCCCTTTCCAGAAGCTATCTTTTTTTTTTTTTTTAAGTACACTCTGTGTCACACATAGTGCTTGAACTCCTGACCCCAAGATCAAGAGTTGCATGTTCTACCAACTAAGTCAGCCACGCTTTCTCAAATGTTGTCTTGCTCAGCTTTCTTTTGCTCTTACTGCTCCATTAGCTCCTAAAAAATAAAAGTCTACCATGGTTTCCACCTTAGGATGCTGTTTGGGTACCCAGAACCTCTTGCTGATTCTCCTCATTGTGTGTTTCCTTACAGAAGGTAGTTAAGCCCCAACCCAAGGCAGTCAAAGCTCCTCCTAAGAAGGCCGAGAGCTCTGATTCCGATTCAGACTCAAGCTCAGAAGATGAGTCACCAAAGAACCAGAAGCCAAAGACAACACCTGTGGCAGCTAAAGCTCAGACTAAAGGCTCAGCCAAACCAGGTACTATTTCTGTTCCCAAGAGACCAGGCTGGGGACTAGCTTGCTCTGGGGACCGGTATTAAAATTGCTCATTCAGGGGCACCTGGGTGGCTCAGTCGGTTGAGCTTCTGCCTTCAGCTCAGGTCATGATCTTAGGGTCCTGGGATTGAGCCCTGCATTGGGTTAAGATTCTCTCTCTCCCTCTCCCTTTGCCGTTCTCCATCCCGTGTGTGCATGCTTGTGCACGTGCGCTCTCTCTCTCAAAAAAATTGTTCATTCAGCACAGGGGTGAAATGGCACTGGTTGTTGAGCTAGAAGTATTGATTAGTGTCTCTCCCCCCACTTAAAGAGGCTTTTTATTGGGGTTAGTAACTGGAGAAACAGTCTGCAGTGAGGAAAAATGTGTTTTTAAAATGGTATCCAGAGGCACCTGGGTGGTTCATTTGGTTGGGTGTCCGACTCTTGATTTCAGCTTGGGTCCTGATCCCAGGGTCGTGGGATTGAGCCCCATGTTGGGCTGCACTCAGAGAGTCTGCTTGAGGAATCTGTCTCCCTCACCTCCTCCCCCCAGTCTTGTGTGCTCTGTCTCTCTCTCTCTCAAATAAGTTAATCTTTTTTTTTTTTTAATTTATCTTCTCTTAAAGATTTTATTTATTTGAGAGAGACAGACAGATAGGGAGAGAGAACAAGAGCGGGGAGGAGAGGGAGAAGCAGGCTCCCCGCTGAGCAGGGAGCCCAGTGTGATGCGGGGCTCGATCCCAGGATGCCTGGTCATGACCTGAGCCGAAAGCAGACGCTTAACTGACTGAGCCTCCCAGGCGCCCCTAAAATAAATAAATCTTTAAAAAAAAAAAAAAAAAAGGTATCCATTTGCCATTCTTGTTCATTTCATAGATGATTTACATTCCCACAAATGCCATTCTGTTATGACCGCTTATACATCTATCGTTTGTGCTTCTTTTTTTTTAAGATTTATTTATTTGAGAGAGTGAGACAGAGAGCACAGGATGGGGGAGGGTCGGAAGGAGAAGAAGACGCCCTGCTGAGCAGGGTGTCCAATGCGGGACTCGATCCCGGGACTCCGGGATCATGACCTGAGCCAAAGGCAGATGCTTAACTGACTGAGCCACCCAGACGCCCTCCTTTGTGCTTTTCATTGCCATCATTTCTCCTCTGTATTCACTCCGTAGGACATGTGAGAATTTAAACTCTTTTCTGTAATATTCTTGTGATGACAGGTTATGATTTATAGGAGTTTCTCTGAATGGAAGTTGGAGTGAAAGATTTCAGAGAGCACGTCTGAATTATTTACATCATATCTTTTTTATTTTCTTTTTAAAGATTTTATTTATTTGAGAGAGAGAGAGCGAGCTTACACATGAGCTGGGGGAGGAGCAGAGTGAGAGGGACAAACAGACTCCCCTCTGAGCCCAGAGCCTGACAAGGCTTTGATACCATGACCCTGAGATCATGACCCGAGCCGAAATCAAGAGTCGGACACTTAATGGGTTGAACCACCCCGGCGCCACTACATCGTATCACTTGTTGAAGATAGTTTTCTGCTTGAAATTGCTCAGGAAAGTCATCTTCCGATAGTCAGCCGTGGCAGTCCCTCATGCCTGCCCCAAAGGCAGGAGCATTGATAGACTCCTAAGTTCCGAGCTGACCGGTTTCTGTGGCCCATTAAGGCCTTGCTACTTCTTGCCGTGTTTTCCCTTCCTAGGTACCCCAGGCCGGCTGGCGTCTAAGCTAGCCAACGGTGAGGTGGCCGCCCGCGAGAGCAGCAGCAGCAGCGAGGACTCGGAGGCGCCGGCGGCCGCGCCGAAGAAGGTTTGGGCCATGACTTCCACCAGGGCACCCGGTTGGGGTTGGTGAGGGTGTCTCCATTTCTTGGCAAGATTAGTTGGACCAGCTTTTTCCTGTGGTAACAGATTTTCTGTATGATGCAGACTGTACCTAAAAAGCAAGTTGTGGCCAAGGCCGCAGTGAAAGCCACAGCTGCCCCTCCCCAAAAGAGTTCCAGTAGTGAGGACTCCTCCAGTGAGGAGGAGGAGGAGGAGGAGGAGGAGGAAGAGCAGAAAAAACCTATGAAGAAAATGCCAGGTGAGGTTTGTTTGTTTTTTTTTAAGATTTATTCGTTTTTTAGAGAGCACAAGCAAGCACGCACGTGTGGTGGGGGCAGGGGGAGGGGCAGAGGGAAAGGGAGAGAATCCCAAGCAGACTCCCTGCTGAGCATGGAGCCCCACCACAACACTTGTCTTTTTTTTTTTTTTTAAGATTTTTATTTATTTCATTTATTTCAGAGAGAGAGAGCGAGCACGTGTACACAAACAGGGCAGCAGCAGAGGGAGAGGGAGAAGCAGGCTTCCCAGTCCCCTGGGATCATGACCTGAGCCAAAGGTAGACGCTTAACTGATTGAGGAACCCAGGCGCGCTGACACTTGTTTTTGTTTTTGTTTTTTTAAACAGGTCCCTATAGCTCAGTCCCTCCGCCTTCTGCTGCCCTATCCAAGAAGTCCCTGGGAACCCAGGCTCCCAAGAAAGCTGCAGAGAAGAAACAGCCTGTGGAGAGCAGTGAGGACAGCAGTGATGAGTCTGGTGAGTCCCCACCCGTGGAGAATGGGTCTGGGGAGTAGATGAGGAATATAAAAGACAAAAATGCCTCTATGCCTTTTGTTTTTCACTGAAGCAAGACAGTGCTTAAGTTTCTGTGTGGGTCTTTGTAGCCTCCTTTTTACTGCTTTTGGTTGGGTTGGGACTCTGGTCCCAGCCTAATGCCATAGGTTCTCTCCAGATTCAAGTTCTGAGGAAGAAAAGAAACCCCCAGCTAAGGCAGTCATCTCTAAAGCAACCACTAAACCAGTTCCAGCAAAGAAAGCGGCAGACAGCTCTTCAGACAACTCAGGTGAGGCATATGGAGGCCCTCAGGGCATTGGGAGTTCCAGGGGCTCTCTTCATTCTGATTTATATGTATTCTTTGCTCTCTCTCTAGACTCTGACAGTTCTGAGGATGAAACTCCTTCCAAGCCAGCCAGTACCACCAAGAATCTACCAAGTAGGCCGGTTGCCACTCCCAAGCATCCTGCAGCTAAACCAGCCACAGCTCCCAAGCAACCTGCAGGTAGTGGCCAGAAGCCTCTCACCAGAAAGGCTGATAGCAGCTCCAGCGAGGAGGAGAGCAGTTCTAGTGAAGAGGAAAAGACAAAGAAGACTGTGGTCACCCCCAAGTCCAAGGCAGCCGCCAAAGCAGCTCCATCTTTGCCTGCCAAACAGGCCTCCCAGGGTGGTGGGGACAGCAGCTCTGATTCAGATAGCTCTAGCAGTGAGGAAGAAAAGGAAGAGAAAACGTCAAAATCTCCAGTTAAAAAGAAGCCACAGAAGGCAGCAGGAGTTGTAACCTCTTCCAAGGCAGCTTCCACAAAGAAAACAAAGGCCGAGAGCAGCAGCAGTTCTTCCTCTGATGATTCCAGTGAGGAAGAAGAGGAGGAGAAGCCCAAGGGCAAGGGCACTGTAAGGCCACAAGCCCTCAAGACCAATGGGACCTCTGCACTGACTACCCAGAATGGAAAAGCAGACAGGGATAGCGATGAGGAAGAAGAAGAAAAGAAAAAGGCAGCAGTGGCAGTTTCTAAGCCAGGTCTGTATCCAAAGAATCTGTCTCCTTAGTGTGTTCCCCCAAATATGGGTGGGATATACACTTGGGGGATGGGGTGGAGAGAGGAGGCCCACGATTAGGTTTCCAGTTGCATGCCCTGGGTGTGGAAACCCGGGAGGAGGAACATGAAACTGGTCTCCTGAGTCTGGCTTTTTGTTTCGTAGGTTCAGGAAAGAAGCGGAAGCAGAGTGAGGCTGCGAAGGAGATAGAGACTCCTCAAGCCAAGAAGATAAAGCCCCAGACCCCCAACACATTTCCAAAAAGGAAGAAAGTAAGTTATCTTATTTTCTTCTCAGGAGCCAGCCTTTAAAGAGTAGAAAGGGACACCTGGCTGGCTCAGTTGGTTAAGCGTCCGACTCCTGATTTCCTCTCAGGTTGTGATCTCAGGGTCGCGAGATTGAGCCCCGAGTAGGGCCCTGTGCTCAGCGCGGAGTCTGCTTGAGATTCTCTGTCCCTCTGCCCCTCACTCCATTCTCTCTGCCCCCCTCAATCAATCAATCTTCAAAAAAAAAATAACAGAAAAAAAATCTGGGATCATCTTGACAGCTCTCTGCCTGGCCTGGCACTCGTGCACATGTGTAGCTAAGGAGGGCTTTTCTGTTGAATGGCCACTCCGTCTTTAACTTACTTCTTACTTCATTCTTCTCTAGGGAGAAAAAAGGGCATCATCCCCATTCCGGAGGATCAGGGAGGAGGAAATTGAGGTAGATTCTCGAGTGGCAGACAATTCCTTTGATGCCAAGGTGAGGGGAGAGGGTGTTTGTCATTCTTAAGGGGGATGGATGGAAGAGAGGGCAGCTTTTTGGTTCAGGTTGCCTTGAGCAGGGAGAAGAAAGTAACAGGGCCTTGATGTTGTTCTTCCGTGTATTAATCACTTCTCTCTGCTTACTAGCGGGGTGCAGCTGGAGACTGGGGGGAGCGCGCCAATCAGGTTCTGAAGTTCACCAAAGGCAAATCGTTCCGGCATGAGAAAACCAAGAAGAAGCGGGGCAGCTACCGGGGAGGCTCCATCTCTGTCCAGGTCAATTCCATTAAATTTGACAGTGAGTGACCTGGGGCCATCTGTGGTGAAGCCGGCGTGATGATCCAAGACCACTTAACTTTCCCAGTGGACCTGGGAAACCCTCAGCTCTATTAAGAAAGGGTCTTGGTGAGGACAGCAGTTTAGAATAGGTCCGAAGACTTTGCTTCGTAACATCCTCTCTCGTCCTTTTCTGTGTTCGTAGTTTTGTACAGATTTGTTTTTGAGTGTTGAGTAGCAAGGACAACATAAGGGTCGTGTTCTTTTTTAAGAAAAAGAAAAATTTTAGTTGTCATTCCCTCTCCCTGTTCTGTGAAAGTCCTCATACTAAGAAATTTGTATATTTTATATTAAATCATTTCCTATTGATTTTTGTTGTTATTTCACAGGTGGGTTCCCACAGATAAAATCTTAGCTATTGCCTAAGACGTAGTAAAGGTCGTCACATTATGAGTTTTTATAATTGGAGAATTCTGCCTGTTGTGCACATTTCATCCGTCCTACCCCTCACAGCTTTGGGAAGGGGCAGTTAAGAGTGGTAAATGTATGTGTTCGCTAAGCATGCACTGTGTAGTTTATACTCATTCATGGGGTTTAGGACTGATGTTTTCAGCGAGCATGGACTTAACTACTTTTTGGGATAAAATTTACTTTTGTTACAGGCAAAATTCTGGTGTAGTGTGAATGCCATGCGGTTAGTCTAAATATTTTGTTTTCTGTAATTTTAACATCTAATGTTTGCAATACGTGTTTAGTTTTTTAATTTGAAAACATAAACTTTTCTATTGTTCAAAGACTTTTTTTGATGACCCTTAATAGTACTAAATTGAGGACTGCATTTCCTTGTTTTTTACATTTTAGAGAACAAAATAACTATGAAAAGTATATATCACTTGGTATTTCTGTTTTAGTAACTGGTGACACAGAATTAGTTTCATTAACTCCTATGTGGTTGGAAATCACTGATCAAGAAGGTGAAAGAATAAAAACTATAATTAAAAACTTCAATCCTCAGTAGGAATTAGATTACATTAGTCAGGCAAATTTATAGGTAACCTGTGTGTGTGCTGATGGAAATGGGAAGAACCTTTATAAAAGCATATTAGGAGGTAAAACTCAAGTAGGGTGGGATTGGGAGAGCATCCCAACAAGATTGTTGTGTTTTGTAGTTGGAACAAGGGAGCAATTGATGTACCCCTTTCAGAACCTTAATTGTCAGTAACAGTGGAGGTAACAGTAAAAACCAGTGAGCAGAAATACAACTCTGAGGCCAAGTCGGCTGATCATAAAGCTGTAGGAGATGACAGTGTTTGGCCAGAGCAAGATGGGAAGGGAAGAGGCAACAGCAAACTCTGGAGGCTGGGACTGTTCCTGAGCTGGGAAAGTGTGCCCTAGCTTCATGGATGAGGGAGGTGTAGGTTTTAAGATTAGCCTCCTCTTGTTTGGATTCCGTACTTGCCAAGTAACTTGATAGTAAGTTGGTTTTCCATGTAACTGCCTCTAGGAGGAACATGCACCATTCATGCTGACATAGGTACATCAGTCTGCATGGTAAAAGTTATCCATCTTACAAAAAATAATAAACTGGCTGGTTTATAACGTGTCTTGGGAGTTTTTTGTTGTGAGTCCAAAGCCCTCCCACCTACTCAAACCAGAACAATTTGCCAGTTAGAGGGCTGGAGTGAGACCTGTGAGTTCACTGCAGACCTTCTTGGCAGCAGCTTGCTGGCTTTTCTTGGCCATACCTTGTCTCATGGTGCCTTGTCCAGGCCGTAGTCCAGAATGTGCACAGTCTAAACCGGGGTTGGCAGAATGGCCTATGGGTGAGTCCGGCCCACGGCTTCTTTCTGTAATGCTTAGACGCTAAGACTGGCTTTTACATTTTAATTTTATTTATTTGTTTTTTAGTAGGCACCACACCCAACATGGGGCTTGGTTTTTTACATTTTAAAAGTGCTTGAAAGAATATGTGGCTGACTTTATGTGGCTCACAAGGCCTACAGTATTTACTAACTGGCCCTCTGTGGAAAACGTTTGCTAATTCCTGGTCTAAATCAGTGATTTCACAACACTGGCTGAAAATTAGAATCATCTGGGAAACTTTTTAAAAATACTAAGACCCAAGGGCCCATCCCAGACTACCTGAGTCAGACTCTGGTACTCTCTGGTGGGGCCTGGGTGTTAGGACTTTTTTTTTTTCTTTTTTTTAAAGCTACTGGGTGATTCTGATATATGAGCAGCTGAGGTTGAAAACCACTAATCTAAGAGTGTTTGAAAATAATTGAATTGGGGTGCCTTGCTGGCTCAGTCGGTTGAGCATCCGACTCTTGTTTTCCGCTCAGGTCATGATCTCGTGGGTCACGGGATTGAGCCCTGTGTCGGCTCCGTTCTCACAGTCTGCTGGAGATTCCCTCCCCCTTTGCCCCTCCCCTGCTCGTGGGCACACTCAATGTCTAAAATAAATAAATCTTAGAAAAAAAACTGGTATTTTTTTCATTCCTTTCATGCTTTCATTTTCAAATATACTTGTTAAATTTAATAGTATAAAATGAAAATTAAATTTCCATCTTAGCTCAGTTTCCTGGGACTTGATTCTGTGTCTTCACAGTTTCTCTGAATGTACTATTACATGCTTCCACTCATATTTTTCCTTACACAAATGGGGTAGCAGTGTTTCGTAAGTTTGGAGCTCATTTTATAACACAGCAGCTCGTTTTTAATGGCTGCATGGTACTCCATTGTATGGAAATAGTATAAGTTATTCAAAGCAGTAATGTTGGTAGATGTTTTGGTTTTTTTCAGTATTTTGCTACTACAAAAGAACACAGTGGTTATTCCTTTTCTTTTTTTTTTTTTAAGTAAACTCTGCCCCCAGTGTGGGACTCAAACTCATGACCCCGAGATCAAGAATCACATGCTCCTCTGACTGAGCCAGCCAGGTGCCCCGCACAGTGAATATTCTTGTACACAAAACTGAGTATCTGTGGATTAAAAAAAAAAATTTTTTTTTTTACAAGAGTTCATTCTTAATTGTACAACAGGATCTAAGACCTAATTCTAGCTATAGATGGCAACATGCTATGATAGGAAAGCCAGATGTTTATTTTTTTTTAAGATTTTATTTATTTGACAGAGACACAGCGAGAGAGGGAACACAAGCAGGGGGAGTGGGAGAGGGAGAAGCAGGCTTCCTGCAGAGCAGGGAGCCCAATGTGGGGCTCAATCCCAGGACCCTGGGATCATGACCTGAGCCAAAGGCAGATGCTTAACGACTGAGCCACCCAGGCGCCCCCCTTTTGCCACATTTCCTAATTCCACTTGTGGCCCGGGGGCCTTTCCCCATGGCCTTCATTTTTAGCTCCTCGAGTTTCTTCTGTTTCTGCTTGAATGTCTTCCTTTTTCTTTTCTGATTGCTGGGACTTCCAGTACTATGTTGAATAGAAGTGGCAGGAGTGGACATTTCTGTCTTGTTCCTGATCTTAGAGAAAAAGTTTTCAGCTTTTCACTGTTGAGTATGATGTTGATTTGGCATATATGACTTTAATTATTTTTTAAAGATTTTATTTGTGGCACCTGGGTGGCTCAGTCGGTTAAGCGGCTGCCTTCAGCTCGGGTCATGATCCCAGGGTCCTGGGATAGAGCCGCATGTTGGGCTCTCTGCTCTCTTCTCCCTTTCCCTCTGCCTGCTGCTCCCCCTGCTTGTGCTCTCTCTCTCAAATAAATAAAATCTTAAAAAAAAAAAGATTTTACTTATTTGAGAGAGAGCGAGCATGCACCAGGGTGGGGGGAAGGGCAAAGGGAGAGGAGAAAGAGACTCCCAATTAGATGTGGGGCTCAGTCTCACAACCCTGAGATCATGACCTGAGCTGAAGGCATAGGTTTAACTGACTGAGCCACCCAGATGTCCCTGGATTGATTGATTATTTATTTATTTATTTATTTATTTATTTATTTATAAAATATTTTTTTGACCCACACTGGGGGTAGAGTTTACTTAAAAAAAAAAAAGAATAAGAGAGCACAAGCAGGGGGAGCAGCAGGCAGAGGGAGAGGGAGAAGCAGGCTTCCCACTGAGCAGGGAGTCCAAAGTGGGGCTCCATCCCAGGACCCCGGGATCACGATCTGAGCTGAAGGCAGATGCCTAACCAGCTGAGCCACCCAGGCGCCCCTATTTATCTTTTTCTTAATAATTTGTAAGTGCTCTTGATGTATTAAAGGGATTAGCCCTGGGGCGCCTGACTGGCTCAGTTGGTGGAGCATGCAACGCTAGATCTCGGGGTTGTGGGTTCAAGCCCAACATTGGATATAGAGATTACTTAAAAATAAAATCTTAAAACAGGAAGAAAAATAAAGAGATTAGCCCTTAATCACAGATTAAAGTTTTTTTCCAAATATTTTCATTTTAAAATGGAATATAATATGTATCCATTAACTTTTCTCCTTAAAATAGATGAATAATTTGTAAGCTTGTTGTTTTGTTTTGTTTTTAAGTTTTTTATTTTATTTAAGTAATCTCTACACCCAGCGTGGCACTCAAACTTGTAACCCTGAGATCAAGTCACATGCTCTTCTGACTGAGCCAGCCAGGTGCCCCAGCTTATTGTTTATTGTTTAAACTATGACGTATTTGTTTTTTTCTTTTGCATTTTATAAATATAACCCATCCTAGCCTTGTTTGCCTTTTTAACTTAGTAGACCTCCTTTTCCCTTAGGGCCTTGCAAAACTCAACCTGCTATATATATACATAATGTGTGTGTGTGTATGTATGCAGGTAAAGTGTTACACAAATGAAGCAGTTTAGTAAATTGTCTAACAGCATTTACTAGAAAGATTACTTAACCCCTCTGAGTCTATTTTCTCATATTTAAAATGACAGAGTATTTTATTATCTTGTCTGTAAAATCTGACTACCCCAGAAGACTGTTGTAAGGACTGAGGATTTATCTAAAGCACTTAGCACAGTTCCTGGCACATTGTAAGGACTCTCTGACTGCCACTTGCACAATAAAAGGGGATTTGGGGAATAACACTCCTTGGTGTCCTTGTGATATGCAACATACCTTTTGAACAGTCTTTTTTTTTAAGACTTTATTTATTTGAGAGAGAGAGAAACAGCATGAGAGGGGAGAGGGTCAGAGGGAGAAGCAGTCTCCCCGCTGAGCTGGGAGCCTGATGTGGGACTCGATCCTAGGACTCCGGGATCGTGACCTGAGCCAAAGGCTGTCGCTTAACCAACTGAGCCACCCAGGCGCCCCTTGAACAAAGTCTTGAATCGTATCTTAGAGTTAATGGTTATATCCAGGCAATATTTTTTTTGTTGTTCTTTGATGTTTATCTATTTAGCATCTTCATTCATGATGCCAAATATTGATACGCAGAATTGATCCTATTTCTTAGGAACTTTAGGTTTGTGAGGAATCTAGAATTCCCACCCAATGCTGATGGGTTCTGGAACTGTTGTTGAAATCCATAAATTCAGTGGATCCACACATCATAGCTCATGCCCCTCATGCCCCTCTGCCATGTACTTACTTCATATGGACAAAAGGTAGGAGACTTTCCAACACCTTGTAGGTTTGTGCTTTGCAGGTTATGTCCTCACTGCAACCCAAACCTGTTAGATCAAGGTTTCTCACCCTCAGCACCGGTACTATTTTGGACCAGATAATTCTTTGTTGTGGAGGACTGTCCTGTGCTTTGTAGTTTGTGTGGCAGCATCCCTGGCCTCTACCAGTGGGTGTCAATATCATTTCCCAGTTTGGGCAACCAGAAATGCTCTTGATAGATAGCTAGGAAGAAACCTAACCAAAGAGGCAAAGGATCTTTTCTCAGAGAACTGTAGAACACTCATGAAAGAAATTGAGGAAGATACAAAGAAATGGAAAAATGTTCCATGCTCATGGATTGGAAGAACAAATATTGTTAAAATATTGTTAAATGCTACCTAGAGCATTCTACACATTCAATGCAATCCTTACCAAAATACCATCAACTTTTTCACAGAGCTGGAACACATAATCCTAAAATTTGTATGGAACCAGAAAGGACCCCAAATAGCCAAAGGAATGTTGAAAAAGAAAAGCAGAGCTGGTGGCATCACAATTCTGGACTTCAAGCTCTATTACAAAGCTTTAACCACCAAGACAGTATGGTACTGGCCCAAAAGACACATAGATCAATGGAACAGAATAGAGAACCCAGAAATGGACCCTCAACTCTATGGTCAACTAATCTTCGACAAAGCAGCGAAGAATGTCCAATGGAAAATCAAGACATCTTCAACAAATGGTGTTGGGAAAATTGGACAGCCACATGCAGAAGAATGAAACTGGACCATTTCCTTACACCACACACAAAAATAGACTCAAAATGAATGAAAGACCTCAATGTGAGACAGGAATCCATCAAAATCCTAGAGGAGAACACAGGCACCAACCTCTGTGACCTCAGCCGCAGCAACTTCTTGCTAGACACGTCTCCAAAGGCAAGGGGAACAAAGGCAAAAATGAACTATTGGGACTTCAGCAAGATAAAAAGCTTTTGCACAGCAAAGGAAAACCAAAAGACAACTGACAAAATGGGAGAAGGTATTTGCAAATGTC